TGAGAGCAGGCGGTCCTGAACGTCCTCCTGCTCGCTGTGATTCCTTCCATCCCAGCCAGTTCCCTTCGCTGGTTTTCAATCTTCCCAGGGTCCCAGAGGGGCTCCTTTACTGGTGACAATGGAGCAACACAGGGGGTGTGATTTTACAGGCGTCCTGGTTCCCAGCCGGTTCTGCCAACTCCAGCTTCGGGATGTGTTACTTAGCAACCCCATCCCATCTTCCTTCCCTCTCTAAACCTCACCTCCTTCCCCCAACTCTCAAAGTACCCCTGGCTTCCTGGGTTTATTTCGACCTAAGACCATGTTTTCCGAGCCTAGTGGCTTCATAGGCTCATGTCTCTGGACTGTGAGAAGTCTTGTCCCCTCAGCCTCTTCCATCCCATCCCATTGTTAAGGGGCATTCCTCCTACCTGCCCTGTGGTGGTCCTGAGGATGCTTCCTGGCTGGTGGTTCTGTGCGGAGCCTTTCACACACCACCTCATCATTCTGCCTGGGAGCCCGCGAGAGGGGTCCAACTTCTCACTTTATAGCTAAGGCAGCTGGGGTTCAGTCAGGAGACAGGGCTTGGTGGTCAGAGGGGGCTTGTAGCCTCTCGGTTGCACCTGGGGCCCACACTTCCAAGCACAACTCACTGTTTGCTAAGTGAAAACATTCTCTCTAGTCTCATCTCTTCATGTCCTGTGTTTACTCATCCCTCAGATGATGGTTTGCTGGATTTTTTTTCTTTAAATAAGCTTGTTTTTGTCCTTACCAAATCACTTCTATTGAAAGGAAAACCCCATCACCGTGGTAAATAGGAAGCCAGCAGACGGTGGCTCTGAGGTAACCATAGAAATGAAAACAGTTGGCCTAAACAGAGGGGCTGTGCCTGCGAGAAGCCCCTGCCTGTCCCTTTCTACAAGAGGGTGATCAGCTTGGTTTGGCGGGTATAAAAGGTACTTTGGTATTTAACTATGGTCAAAGAAAGGATTAGAGGAGAGTTTCGTGGCACTCATGGGTTCTCTCAGGTCCTCTTGCCTTTGTTAGTGGCTGGAGAAAGGCAGGGGATGGGGGGGGGAGTCAGAGAACAGGAACACAGAGGGAGGAGAGGGGGCAGGGAATGCCTGGCCCACACAAGCAGCAAGAAGCCAGTATTCTGGGATGAAGGGTGGTGGAGGTCACAGAGAGGGCTGAGTCCTGCAGGGCCCCCAGTCATACCCAATTCTAAACCAGAGCAAGAACCTCCCAGGGGGCCCAGAAGAAGGGCCCACCAGTGCTGGAGTGAGTGTGGTGGCCCCAGCTGGACAGGACAGTATTTTCTCACTGTACGGTGTTGTGGCATCTGGTCCTTCCTCCCAGCAGGTGCGCTGCGCATCCTCCAAGGCTGAGCTTTTGGGATGTGAGGAGACTGGGTATCTATCTCTGTGTTAAAGCTACCTGTCCATCCCTCAGCAGGGGCTTCTGCTGGCTCAGTGACAGAGAAGCAACATGGCAGGGACTGCAGTCCATGTCCCCTGGGAAGTGCTCTGAACTGGATTTCGGAGCCCTTGTCAGCCTGAAGAAGCACAGTGACACTGTGCCCTGGGATCCCATTGCATCCACGCCTGCTGCCCTGACTGAACCCATCGACTTCCTGTCTTTGTTCTTTTCCTTTTGTCAGCAATTTGCATATTTCAAGCCCGACAGAAAGGTCAATAGGTGTTGGGGAGTGTGTGTGTGTGTGTGGGGGGGGACTTGAAGGACAACCTAACGCATCTTTCTTTGAACTGCACCACTGCAGAGAAGAGCCCTAGGACAAGGGACCCTAAATCATATGTTCATCTCTGTGGACTCCCAGGGCCCAAGGAGGGAGAGTCCATTTACCTGGACTCAGCAATAAGAAGGGCAGTGGTACCACACAGAGGACTGTCCACCCAGGGATGCTAAGAACCAGAGGATGGACCCTCCCTGCCACAAACTGACCATGTGGCAAGCACAAAACGCCTGACAACCGGGCAAGCAGCCCAATCAGAGTTGGGGGTGTGGTCAGTGGTGGGTTGAAGAAAGCCGCCTGGGATGCTATGTGTATGTCTGTGGTGTGCTTGTTCACATGTATAGGCACATGTGTGTTGGGGTACATGTATACGTGGAGGTCAGAGCTTAATGTGAGGCATCTTCCTTTTGTTCTCCACCTTAGTTTTTGACACAAGGTCTCCCGCTGAACCTGGCACATATAGATTCCTTTTGACTGGCTGGCCAGCAGGCCCCAGGGACCCTCCTGTCTCTGCCTCCCTGGTGCTGAGATCACAGGCACTTGCTACCAGGCTGCAGAACAATCCTGGTACACTGTGAATATGCACTACTCTCATTGGTTAATGAAGAGGCCACTGGCCTATAGCTGGGCAGGAGAGCCAGACTGGGAGGATGCTGGGAAGAAGAAGGGTGGAGTCTGAGGAGACACCATGAAAGGCAGACCAAGCAGGATAGGAAGTATGTACATGAGATAAACAAACTTGGGGTAGCACATAAATGAATAGAAATGGGTTAATTTAAGATATAAGAGCTAGCTAAAAATGAGTATAAGCTATTGGCCAAGTATTTATAATTAATATTAAGTCTCTGTGTGGTTATTTGGGGAGCAGTTGGTGGGATAGAGAACCTCTGCCTACCCTACCACACCTGGTTTTGTCACATGACCCCTGGGGATCCAGACTCAAGTGTGATGAACCATCTCCCCAGCACACCTTCCCTGGGGGGGGTTAAGTTGCTTTAAAAATTATATTTATTTTTATTTATTGTGTGTGTGTGTAAGCAACCCTCTCAAACACATGATGGCACATGTGTGGAGGCCGGAGGATAACTTTTGAGATTTATTTTCCTCTATTTACTATGTAGGTCCTGGGGGTTGAATTATCTGGATTGACAGCAAGCACCTTTACCCACTGAGTTAATCCAACCCCTTCTTAAAAGACAAACATAGTTCTTTTGGGGGAGGTAGTCTTTTGAGTTCAGAAGAAATCTTCACAAGGCTATGTGCTGATCATATTTTTTTAACCTAAAGACGAGCAAGGCTCTGGGTGGTTGTTTATCCAGGTGGACACCTTTGTCAAAACTCACTGAACTAGGCCCTTGTTTTATTGGCAGGGTCCCAGGCAGTGCCTTGGTGTGCATGAGGAATGGGCTGTAGGCCAGTGCTCAAGTCTACTGTGTGTATGGTGTTGTGCTTGCGTTTGGCCCACACATTATAGGCTTAGGAAATTGCTTACATATTATTTCCAATGGCTGATTTACAAAGCATTGGCACAGGGTGGGACTATTGAGCATTCCCTGTAGGAGGATGGTCCACTGGTATCTCCCAGTAGGCTGAGAATTATTATAAGTAGGCACTGTGAAAGCAAACTTTTCTCAATCCCCTTTTCAGGTCCCCTCTCAGCTATAACGCCCGATCCAACGTAAAGACTGTGTGGTAGCCATCACATAAGATGTCAAAGTCTCCATGTGCTCAGTGCAGTCATTGCTTGTTCCGAGACAGGGTCTGCTATAAATCTCTGCCTGGTTGTTAGGTTTGCTTTTAGTTTTGTTGTTTCTTTTAAAAGCCCAGGTTTCTGGTAGCTCAACTTTGTGGTGATATTTTTTTTTGGCTGTAACAAATAAAGCTTATCTGAAGATCAGAGTGTGGAGCTAACCATACTAGTCAGCCACAGAGGCCAGGCAGTGGTGGCCCACACCTTTAATCCCAGCACTGAGGAGGTGGAGACAGAAAGGGATGTGGTTGGATGGAGAGAGGACTATAAGGCAGGAGGAGACAGGAGCTCATTGCATTCAGTCTGAGGATTCATGGAGGCAGGATTTTGCCTGCTTTGGTCTGAGGATTTGATAGAGATAAAAGGTCTCTCTAGTGCCTGGTTCCTTTACTTCTCTGACCTTTCAGCATTTACCCTGATATCTAACTCTGGGTTTTTATTAAGACTACTTAGAATTTGTGCTACAAAACCTAGCCTCAAACTTGCTATGGCATTGACCTTGAACTTCTGATCTGCCTACCTTCAGCTTATAGAAGTATACTATATGCCTAGTTCTTTTCTTCTTTTTTCCCTTTGGATTTTCAAGACAGGGTTCCCCTGTGTATCAGTCCTAGCTGTCCTGGAACTAGTTCTTGTAGATCAGGCTGGCCTCGGACTCACCTGCCTCTGCTTCCCGAGTGCTGGGATTGAAGGCGTGTGCCACCACCGCCTGGCCCCATATGCCTAGTTCTATGTAGTGATAGGAACTGAACCCAGGGCCTTGTGCATGCTGGGTGCTTGTCTATCAACTCAGCCTGCCTTTTTTTTTTTTTTAAATAGGGTCTTTCTCACTCCGTAGGCCAGGGTGACTTTGCCTCAAGACAGTTCTTCTGCCTCAGCTCCCTCATGCTGGGATGACAGGTCTGAGCCACCATACCCAGCCTGGTTTCAAACTCATCTTGTTCTTGACTGCCTTGGCTTTGCCGAGCACACGTCACCATCCCTGGCCAGGAGTAAATTCCTCATTTTTGATCCAAGGGTTGGGTGATCCAGAGGGTCGGTGGTCAGTCCTAGAAGTCACAGCTGGAACAAGGACTTCTTAGAAGCCACAGATGGGAAAACAAACCCAGGGGCCATGGCCAAAGCCGGAGCGAACTCAGTAGAGGACGCAGGGTTGGAAAGGACAATGGCACAGATGCTCAGCTCAAAAACAGAAGTGAAGGGATGAAGCCAGAGCAAGGAGGGTAGGGAGTGCAGAAAGGTAAGAGCCACACCCAGTGTGCACAGGGATAGGGAAAAGTGAGGCTTTCTATTTCTGGAGCGGGAAGGCGTGGGAGCAGGGGAGTCAGACAGAGGCGGAGCAGGGCAGAGGGCAGCTCTGGAGGTGGGTGGAGGCAGCCTGAGGCAGCAGACAAGCAGATACTTCCAGATGAGTTAGTGTCTCCCCACTGCTTCAGGCTTCAAGGAACTTTAAGTCTCTCCCCTCCCTCCTCCCCTCCCTCCTCCCCTCCCTCCTCCCCTCCCTCCTCCCCTCCCTCCTCCCCTCCCTCCTCCCCTCCCTCCCTGCTTTCCTCCCTCTTTCTTTCTTTTGACACAGGTTCTCAGGTTTCTAAAGGCTGTCTTTAAACTTGCCAAGTTTCTGAGGATGATCTTGAACACTGGATCCTGCTGCCAACACCTCTCCAGTGCTGGGTGACAGGCATGCACCACCACGCCTGGGTTGTGCTGAAGGAGGTTCTGTAAACGCCGGGTAAGCACTCTGCCAGCTGAGTGACACATGTATTTCTCAGTGGTCATGTGTAGCTGCTTGGCCTCTAGGTTATGCAGAGCAGAAATGAAACTTCAGAAGAGCGGATTGATGTCTGAAATTCTGTTGTAACTGGAGAAATCTGAGCTCTGCGGTCTCTTGGAGGCCATGTGTGTGTGTGAGGGGGGATGCAGAGTACAGAGGTCAAGAGAGGCCTGCCTGGGAAGATGTTGCCCAGAGCAACAACCTGGGGGAGGCGGGGGAGGGAGTAGGAGGGACCAGCCTAGGCACTGTATTTGGAAGCATTGGATAGGCCAGGGCAGGGCAGGAAGTCGGGAGATGGAGGACTGGTGGCTCACTTTTGGAAAATGTCTTCTGTCTTCAATCAAAATTGCACTGTGGGTGGCAAGTGTTGTGTATAAGCCCAGACAGTAAAGCATCCAGTCCATAGGTGAGCTTGACTCATCCCTAAGTGTATACACCTGAACCCACTCCTTTGAGAAGGCACAAATCACACAGAGACCCTCAGAATCCTGCAGGGCAGGCCCACCCTCTTCTCTAACACCCAGGAGCTCGTGGTGGCTCCAGAAACCCATCCCAGCTGTTTCGAGTATTCCTTGCACCCGTGTTTTATGAGTTAGACTCTTTGAAAGAGGACCTGCCCATGTTGGCAGGTTTCAATTTCATCTCTATTCTGTTCGCCTGGTAAGGAAAGCCCCAAATCACAGTAAAGCAACAGCAGGCATCTGGAAAAGATTGATGAGTGTGTTTTTAATCACCAGGAGAAAACCCAGCCAGAGAGTCGGCCAGCTGAACTGAGAGTTTGGGGGACGGGGCCAGCCGCAGACGATGGAAGTCTCAGGGATCCCAAGAAACAGCTTTCCCCAGAGGCCTCTGCACGAATCCTGGGGGAGCACAGGGCTGGGCTGGTTCTGAAAGTTTGTTTGTGACTGAGAAATTCTCAAGAATAAAAACACCACTTCCCATCACTCCTGTTCCTTCTTTTTTCTACCCCTTCCTCTTTTCCCTCTGACTTTTATCTTGGAAGAAAGAGAGAGGAGAGAGAGAGAGAGAGAGAGAGAGAGAGAGAGAGAGAGAGAGAGAGAGAGAGCTGTTTTGATTTCTGAAGACGGCTTTCTCATCCTCCCCTGTGAGCTGCCGAGCAAAGAATTAATTTAGATTTTTGCAGTGTTGGGGCCTCGCTCATTAAATGAATCCCATTGTCTCTTGGAAGCCCAGGCAAGTTAGTTTAATGATGCCTCAGTCCTTCCAGTTCCTCAACAAGCGTCCCGTGTGCCTTCTGGCTCTCTCTACTAGAGCTTTGCTGGCAGCTTTTCAGTTTCCATTCGGTTGTGCCGAGCTCCAACCCCCTCCCTCACCAACCCCACCCATACTCTAGTCAGAGAGCCCCTCTTCTGCACCCCTTTCTGATGCCCTATGGGGTGCGCTCACCCCGTTTCCATGGTTTCTGTTCCTACTGAAAGTGTGACCGTAACTAGCCAGGCTGTTCGGATTTTTTAAAGACTACATAGAGATGGGTTCCTCGTGTCCCTGTCCACAGTTCATGTTTGCTGGGATAGGATATGCTGGTGGCAGGGAAAGATGGCATTCCTCTGCCTGTGTAGTCTGATAAAGCCCTAAAGAAACATGCCAGAAAGAGTCCTGAAAAGCCCTTTCACCTCTCTATATGCTCCCCTGCACCCCGTGAGGAAGTGGGCAGCCATAAGAGTTTCACCTCCCCTTAGCAATCATGAAAATTTAAACAAAGACAGAAGCTGGCCTCTTGTGTTGGAAAAAAAAAGTCTCCATGAAAAACTTCACAGGCTCGATCTTGTTGCATCTTAGACCACTGCTAAGCACTTCATGGACTTACGTCCTTTGCCTCCTGAGTCCATGACCCCAGCAGGTCTGGATCTGTGGGAAAGTTGGCTTCCTGGGATGATTGGCTGAGGCAGGTGGAGCTTGTGGAGCTGGGGTCAGTGGTTAGGAAGCCTTCTTCTCCTGGCCGATGCTCAGGCTGGGGAGGAAAGGGAGCTGTTCTGAATGCTTGTCGGGGGCAGAGAGTGGGCCGCGTCTTAGGGTAGGGAGGCTGCCAGAGGGTGGTGGGAGCTGGACCCTGGGTCGTGCCAGGGGTATGTTCCGAGACACAGGGATGTTCACTGGCCATGGGCTCTGTGCCAGTCAGCTTCTGCTGTGTTATGACGTCCCCCACCCTTCAAAAGGTAGTGGCTTAAACAAGCTTTTGTTGTCTCCAGTTTCTGAAGGTTGGACTTCTGGGCACTTGGTGAATGGCTTGGGGCTCCAGATTCGTGCAGGCTAGCAGCGGGGTACAGCTACAGGCCTTGAGGGTGTGCTTAGGAGGGCAGAGAAAGGCAGACTCTGGACTTGCTCATGTGGCTCCTGGCCCCACATTTCCTCCCTCAGCACATGTACTTCCCTGCCCCGGGCACACCAACTTGGCACTTCATGGGAAGGACACAGAGTCCAAGGCAGGGGCATCCCTGAAGGCCAGCTGCCAACAGTCGGATGTCTCTCTGTCATTCAAAAGGTATTTAGAGGGTCTGAGGAGATAATCCATAAAACCCGAGGACTTGAGTTCCAGAACCCACGTAAAAAGGTGGTGTGGTGGCACACATTTGAACGTGGAGACAGAAGGATCCCGAGGTTCACTGGCCAGCCTGTCTTGTCTAACTGGTGAGCTCCGGGCCAACGAGAAACCCGTCTTAAGGGAGGTGGGACTGCATTTCTGAGGCTGGCACCTGAGGGGACGGGACAGAGGACATGAAGAATGGTCCTAAGGTGTATGTTTCTCCATCTTGAATGTCCCTGCACGCTTGCGTCGGTGCCGTGAGACACTGCTGTTGTTTTTCATTTTCTTCTCTTCAGGGGAGGAGACAAAGCCTCATTAGCATGAAGCAGCGAAGCAGCAAAGAGAGGGTTAGATGGCAGGAGCGGCTGCGCCTGCAGCCAAGCAGGGTGCAGTGGCTACCCCAGCCCTGAGACTCAGAGCGGCCAGAGGCAGCATATGGCGACCTGGCTGAACTTCAGTAGAGGAGGGGACCTGACAGCAGCTGTGAGCACCGGGGATTGCCACTGCCTCCATTCCGTGACCCCGCGTCAAGGGGCAGGTGAAGCAACTCTTCAACTGTGTCCCCATGATTAGAGATCCTGTTGAGGTCCCCCCAGGGCTCGGGGGAGGAAGTCTCCAGAGTTCGCTCACCTTCCTGGACAGAGAGGGGGACTGTTGAGTAAGGCTGTGTCCTGTGTGAAGTTTACTATATATCATCTAACAAATGGGTTTCCAGAGTCAGCCTTGCCCTAGGAGACTCCATATTCTACAAACGGCTTTGGACTCCGTCTTGAGGGCGGTGGATGAGTGGTGTGGCTTTTGGGTGGACCCTGGAGCTGTACCATCTGCCAGGTGCCACCCACCCAGCAAACACTTATTCCATGTTACAAGTTTGTTAGGGCGAATTGAGACAGGGTGTGGGGACACATGGGTGTAGGGTGTATTGAGACCCTATCAGGGAAGCCCAATCAGATACACCAGACCAAGGAAAACACGACTTCTCTGGACACCTTAGTGATGTTACCCACATGTGACAGTGCAGTGACGTGCCCCCACACCAATCTAGCATCCATATGTGGTGTGTACCTCAAGGATCAACAAGCAGAGGGCTCCCTGATTGGTCCCCTGATCCTGGTGCAGCCTATTGACTGCCTGCCTGCCCACTTGTAACCCATCTGGACCTGAACTTGCCATTTCTGTCTCTGGACCCAGGTCTGCCCTTTCACCTCACAGCTGGAGACTTTCCGCTCTCAAACCATGACGTCAGCAGTGGCGGTGACAGCCCCTCCCAGCGCTGCTGAGGTACGGTATCTATCTATCTATCTATCTATCTATCTATCTATCTATCTATCTATCATCTATTTTATGTATATGAATGCTCTATCTGCATATACAAGGGCATGCCTAGCAGAGGGCGTCAGATCCCATTATAGGTGATCGTGAGCCGCCGTGAGGTTGCTGGGAATGGAACTCAGGTCCTCTGAAAGAGCAGTCAGTGCTCTTAACTGCTGAGCTATCTCTCCAGTCGACGGGTATCATATTAATACAGACCCTTGGGCCACTTGTGAAGTGTTCTGAACCCTGCTGTAGCCTCTTGAACTGTATTTTTTTCCTGTAAAGATGCAGACAGACACAGACACACCTCCTATGCGCCTTATGCTATGTAATATGAGAGTTAGTATCGGTAATTAAGATCAGAACAAAGGAATCTGCATTTGCCTCCCTAGGTTACCAAGGCAGGTGGATTATACGACAAGCTACTGCCCTTGAAGTGGCTAAATCTTGTGAATTTATTGTTGTTCACCAATAATAATGATCAGGAAAGGCCATCTTGCAAGATCATGGCTAAGTAAGCTGTAAGGACATCAAGGAGACAGTTTTCCTGCAAGGGCGAACCTTGAGTGTGTGTCTGCATAGCGTGTAGGAGTTTTGCAAAGCAGCGATGGGTCTGGGCAGAGTGGGAAGTGAGATGCAGTGGGGTACAGTCAGGACCATATGGCCGGGGAGGAGCCTTGTGCCTGCCATTTGGAAAGTGGCCTGTAGGGGGCGGGATGGAGACAAGATTGGTGAGTAGATGTCTACCCAGCTCAGCCTCCCAAGTGCTGGAATTGAAGTTAGGTACTATTATGCCTCTCGGCTCCTTCAGCAAATATTGGCTGAGCAGACACTGTGTGTCGAGCACATTCTAGACACAGAATACAGCATTTTTCTTTTCTGTAGTGCTGGGGACAGAACCCAGGGCCTTGTGCATGCTGGGTGATCACTCTACCTCTGGGCTGTGTCCCTAGACTTGCAGTTTTAAGAGACAAGTAGCAATAGACAGACAGACAGACAGACAGACAGACAGACAGACAGACAGACACACAAACGGTGGGGGGAGGTGCATGATGGCTGACTTTGGAGCTAGACCAGGAACTGTGGGGAGGAAGACCTTCTCTCTCTCTCTCTCTCTCTCTCTCTCTCTCTCTCTCTCTCTCTCTCTCTCTCTTTCTTCCTTTCTCCTCCTCCCCTTTCTTCTTTTTTTTCAGAATCAGAGTTTCTCTGTATAACAGTCCTGGCTGTCCTGGAATTTGCTTTGTAGACCAGGCTGGACTCTAACTTACAGAGATCCACCTGCCTCTGCCTCCCAAGTGCTAGGATTAAAGGCGTGCGCCATTATAGCCTGTCCATGAGGAAGACCTTCTTAAACAGTTTAAGGATTAATCGGGAGACAAGGAATAGACCCCGGGTGTGTGTGTGTGTGTGTGTGTGTGTGTGTGGGAGCTCTGCAGGGAGGTAAGCTTGCAGCCTCACTTCTGCAAGAATCGCCCAGGTCCTGAATTGGCTGTGATGGTGAATAGGGGTGGGAGAGCTAGAATGGAGGGGAGATGGGAGGATGGAGTCGAGGGGCGAGGAACTCGGTGGCCATCAGCACAGAAATGCAGTCCTGGTCAAAGCATGATTCTGCCCATCACTGGCTCTTCACTGTCTCAGCTCCTGGCCTTTAGATCTGTCCTGTGAGTCATCAGCAGTGTGTGGACCTCTTTCTGAAAGGCAGGTTCCTCTGGCCAGGATTAGGCTGAAGTCTTTCTTCATCCTGCCCAGGACTCCTGAGGAGATTTCAACTTCACAGGGGTCCATTGCCTCACTATCCTGATAGCCAGAGAGAGGGACAGAGTGTCTCTCTAAAATATCCTCTCTCCTGTCAGGACAGTTACAAGGGGGCCAGCCAGACTGCTTGTGGACTGTCCCAGTCCCCGGGGCAGCGAGATCACAGAGTATCCTGGCCACCAACTGTTCCAACAAGGCCGAATTCCTCACTGCCCTTTTCAGACTTGCGCCCGTTCCCCTTCCAGCCCGTGGGAGATGGATGGTTTCATTACTTGCGGCACTCGGCAATAAATCTTGCAGTTGCGGTGGAAGCGAGCTCTTTCCCGTGCCACCTCCCGTCCTGTGATTCATCACGGTTAAGCTTTCCTTTACCCCTGAAGCTGGGGGCTGGGGAGGAGCAGAGGCCTGGGGACTGAGGGGCTGTCACTCCTCAGAGGCTGAGAAGGGACTGTCTGCAGACAGGGTCAGGCTCCACGTGGGCTGGAGCAATGGCAGCCTCCGCTTAAGGGCTGTAAAGGGAAGCGGCCAGCGCAGCCCTTAGGGACCTTCACGCCTGGTCCATTTGCCAAGAAAATCTCCCAGAGAAGAAGGGGAGAAAGCTGAACGTCAGACAGAAAAGAAGCAGCCAGAAAGTTGTCTGCCAGGGGAGTGCTGAAGAATCTAATTCACGATGAAATGTGTTCTTGTTTGTGTACAATTAATTTTCCTCCCAAATGAAGGGCTTTGTCTCTCACTCTGTGTTTCAATAGCAACCGTGTAATTAAGGCAGCGCGTGCGTCTCTGCTCGGAAAGGGGCTGCTCGGTGTTAACATGGTGGGAAGCAAACTTTGCTTGGATTGGTTCCTGGCTCTGAGGAAATTAAAAAGAAAACACAAAGGATGGAAGAGAACACCTCCAAATAGAGACTTGGCCTCGGCTGGGATGATGTCACTGGAAGAAATGTGAGCAGGAAGTCCCATGAATGGAGGTTAGAAACTCCTGCTCTCACTGTGGGGGACCTGGAGGAGTGTTCAGGGATTTCCAGAATTTTTGGAAACGAGAATGACCAGTTTCATTGCCGTGGGTCCAGGTGGGAGGAGCTTGCAAGTGAAACAGGCCATTGTGTTTCTCAATGCAAATGCATTTTATCTGTACAGTTAGGCTCAGATAAATATTTAACCACTCCGAGGAGCCGGCTTGCTTGCGACTGTCCTTGGATCTTAAGGAACTCTTCACTTTCTTTTTCTATCTTTTCCTGTGTACACGTACACACGTATGTGTACAAATGCATGTGTACTTGGAGGCCTGAGGTCGGGAATCCACCTCCATTGCTCTTCCACCTTATTCACTGAGGCAGTTTCTCAATCAAGCTCAGAATTCACTGATATGGCTGGTTCTGCCCAGTGTGCTTGCTCTAGGAGTCCCTGTTCTCTGCCTTCTGAGGCTGCCATTATAGGAAGGCCACCATTCCCACCTGGCATTTACGTGGGTTTCTGGGAATCAGGACTCTGGTCACCGTGCTTGCGTGGAAAGCACTTTTAAACGCTAAGCCATCTCCTAAGCTCCCAAACTCCATGGAACTCGACTGAACTGTTTACTTTAGTACGTGTGTGCATGCATACACACATATGTGGTCAGAAGGGAGCATCAGATCCCTTGAAGCTGGAGTGAGTTACAGGCATAGGTGAGCTGCTTGAGGTGGGTGCTGGAAACCCGGACTCTTGTCTCCTGACGGAGCAGTAAGTGCTCTTAACTGTGCAGCCACCTCCTTAGCTCTTGACTGAACTTGAGGACGCCTTATTGACTGATAGTTTAAGAAAACGCCCTTACCGTTTTGTTCTGAGGCAGAAGGGCGCAGCCTTACTCCAACCACCGTCTAACTTCCCTGGTTGATGGCAGACCCCATCTCCCTGAGCTTCTCCTCGTGGGTTCTCTGTCTTCTAGCTTTCCATGTTGTGTGGCTCTCCTCAGACTTCAAGTCTCTCTGCATTTATCCTTCTGCTCGCAAGGGCTTGTGGGATGGCAGGACTGGCGGACACATCATGACATGTTCTGGTGTGAAGCTAGCTGGTTGGCAATCCCAGTTATGTCTATGAAGCCTCTCGTCCCATGTTAAGTCATGTCACCATGGGCTTCACATCAGGGACCTGCTCAATGGTGAGGGGATAACTTACAAATTGAACAATTTGAACAGGAATTCCAGGGACATGTGCGGCCACCGAGCACAGGCACAGAGGCTTGAGCAAGAGCTATAAAAGCAAAGGACAGCAACCAACATCAGAGGTTTATAGGACACCTGAAAACACCTTGCATCACAGTGGTACTTCAAGAGGCACTGCCACAGTGAACAAAGTTTCACTGTGCCTTAGAGAGCTAACCCCTTAGCTCCTGAGCTTGGAAGCTAAGCTCATGTCTGAGCTCGGCCTGGTTAATACTTGTATGGGAGACAGCTAATCCAAACTTACTGTTGGGCCCAACGACTTCCAGAAGAACAGAATGGCTTCATTCACAATAGGCTCAACTTGACCCACAGCAATGCCCATCAACCGGAGAGAGAGTAAACACATTGGAAGACAAGACTGCCAATTGTAACAAAAAGAAAAGGCGCTGACGAAATCAGTGTGGACAGATCCCAAGAGTATTATGCTAAAGGAAGAGGCCAGACACAATATATCGTTTCACTTGCATGCAATTCTAGAACTTCACAACTAAAGTGACAATGGATTGTGGTTTCCACCGGCTAGGAAGAAGGGCAGGAGGGGATTGTGTTTTCTCAGGTGACAGTCATGGTGGCGATGAGGTTCCCTCCACTTGTCAAAACTCATCAAAACGGTCCTCTTAAAGCCGCTAACTTTCACCGTCTGCAATTAAATTCCCATAAAGCTTAGTTTTTAAACAGCTTTATGTCACTAACACTAATGGCAAATCACTGCTCTCTGCCAAGATAGCAGGCAACTGTAAAAACAAATACATATATTTTAGAAGGCTCAGAAAAGAAAACAGACAGCCCAGCTGTCGTGCGTGCCCGTGCCCCTGTCTGTCTTTGTAAGCTCTGAGTTTCCAGCTGGGGGTCACATCTGCAGAGCCTCCCCACTGCGCCGCCAGGGACCACCCGAGCTGGCCTGAGGACCACAAGGAGGAAGACATTTTGAGTCGATGCGGCATCAGTGTGGTGTGGGAAAGCTGTGGCAATTACTCTGTGACCATGCTAACCTATGTTAGCTGACAACCAGGGCCCGTGCTTAGCGAGATAGGACTTCATCCGTGGTCCGTGCAAAGGCCAGTGAGTGCCGTGTGTCTCCTGGACATTGCACAGACTGGTCCCCTGGCTGGGACTGCTTTTCTAAAGACTTTTTGCCTAGCCAATGCCTTCTTACTCTTCGGGGTCTGTCGAACCCCCAACATTTGTGGTGTAGCTGCCCTTGATTCAGTAGCCCTTGGACTTAGTGCCTGTTCATACTTTTTAAAGCATTTAAACAAGTAGTTTGGTGGCTAAGAGAACTTCTTGCATGCATTTGTTTCCCTCTCTCTGAGTGACCGGAGGCCCCAGCAGGCTAACGGCAGGCAGGTCTAGACTGCCCGGTGTGGTTTCCCCAGAACTCATAGGGGGGCCTGTCACCTGGCAGGCTGCTACAGTTTTCCTTGGCTGCACAATAAATTACCCTGAACTTGGCTGTGAGTGTCTCTGGATCAGAACTCAAGATCTGACTTAGTGAGGTCCTCGATCGGAGTCTCAAAGGCTTCAGTCAAACTGAGGAGACGCTCAGTGGGTAAAGAGTTTGTGGCACAAGCCTGTGGACCTGAGTTTGGGGAAAACAGGACTTGATAATATGAACCTGGAATCCTGGCACTGGGGAGGGGGAGACAGACAGCATCCCGGGCCTCACTGGCAGGACCTTCTACCAAAGCAGTGAACCTCAGACTCAGCAAAGAGACCTTGTCTCAATAAGATGGATAGTGATAGAGGAAGACACTAAGACCTCTGGCCTTTACCTGTGCATTGTGTAAGTGAACACACCTGCTTGCATGTGCACACACTTCCACAAACCATGCAAACACACACAAAGATTGCAGGCAAGTAGTGGGGGCCTCTTCCACACTCCCAGAGCTACTGAAGGAGTCCTCTCGTGTGACTGCAGAACTCTCAGCAGTCACAGTGTGTGTGTGTGTGTGTGTGTGTGTTTGGGGGCATGGGTAGATGTGGGGATGGGGTTGTGGAGGTGTATAGGAGTGAGCGTGGGGAGGCATCTCTGGCTTCAAGACTCCCTTCAGGGGAAGGCTTGGATTCTCTTTTAAGGATCCACCTGATTAGGCTAAGTACACACAACTTAATCTCCCTATTAATTAACTCAGGGCCAACTGTTTAAAGAACCTTAATTACATCCTCAAAAATCCCTTTGCCTTTACCCTATCACGTGATCAAATCATGGGGTTTAAATTCTACCTTAAGCACAAGTCCCACCTCCATATAAGGGGGAGAAATCTTGGGGTCCTTCCCTGGGTGCAGCCTGCCACTCTGGCTTTCAGTGCTCTCTTGTGATGGACAAGACACCCGAGTTTCCTGCGTGCCATCCTTTGCTCAGCTGGCGTCCTGCACTGGGAATTCTTGCCATCCTCTATGGCTGCCATCTTTGTTGTGTTACCCTTTGAAACTGGCTCAGAGCCTCCTGTCACTCATGACTTGCATCCTGTCTGTCTCAGACTGATAATGTCCGTCTACCTTCCCCACAATGGGAGGCGAGGTGGTCTCAGTGTGAGTCCCCTCTGGCCCAGACACGGCTGTCTATTTGAACACATGGAGAAACCAGGAAGTTGTTCGCTTTGAAGATACCCTCTGGGCTCTTCCCTCTCTTTCTCTGCTTCCAAACATAACTACTAAACAAGCACACTGGTGTGCCCGCCCCCGATGTCTCTGACTTCCTGTAGTTCTGTCATCTTACAACCATGGGAAGCTCACCAGGCAAGCAAGAAATGCATATTGCTGGCTCAGCCTGCTGATAGCGCCTTCTGCTTTGCTTTCTATTTGCAGAGGCTTCTAAAGAGACCCCCTTTGAGGTGCTGTGACCAGGAGTCCTGATGTCAGCCAAGACTGTAATAGTCCCTATTACAGCAGTCACCCAACCCAAAGAGACTATCAAGAGCCCAGAAATCGCCCCTAAGCGCAATCTCAGAGTCAGGTGTTTCCAAACTGGCCCATCTGGTCTGATCAGGAGAAGGAAACTGACAGATGTGTCTCTTTGTTTCTTCCTCTGCTGGAGAGGTTTGGAAAATTACCTGAATATCTGAGGCCCCAAGGATGGGGGGGGCGGGGCTGAGCACTCTCCCCATCCCTGAAGGCAAGTTCCTTCCAGTTCCCAGTATCCAGGGCCTGCAGGGCAGCTGGCTTTCAACAGAGCTCTACCATGGACAAGATATTAGCTCTCAGCTGCCCGGGGAGAGTAGGGACAAAGCCAGGCCCTACAGGATGGCCACAGGCTGGAAGTGGAAGGAAGATCCAAAGGGGGAGTGGGCAGGGCTTATCTCCCAGCATTTGGGAGGCTGAGGCAGGTGGATCTCTGGACTACAGTTCAAGGCCAGTCTGTCCTATAAAGTAAGTTCCAGGACAGCCAGGGCTGCTACACAGAGAAATCCTGTCTCACAAAACCAACAAAACAAACTAGAGAGCATCACGGGCCAGAATGCTTACTGTGAGTCTCTTCTGACTAAAGCCAGCTCAACCACTAAGAGTCAGTAGGCTGTGCACATGACCAGAAGGACTGGGGGATTGCTACTGAGCAGAAACTAAATAAGCCCTTACTTTGCCTGTGCTTAGCTAACGTAAGCCTCACCCATCTCAGGGGCCGCGCAGGGCAGCACGCCTCGAGCCTTGGTAGCTTCCCTGCGGACGGCACCTTTGACTGACAATAGTTGCCTGGTTGCTTTGCAGACACCTGAAGGTCAGTTTTGCTAAAAGCAGCACAGCCAAAATGGGACAAAAGGCCGACACCTCTGTCTTGGTGCTGTGTCTACTGCCTTTGGCGCTTGAATCTCTGAACGACTCTGCTCAGGTCTGTTCAGGGAAACATTTCGTTTAGGTCTGTACAGAGCAGAGAGGTGGTTTTTATTTTTAATGTATCAACCTCATCTTCATTTTTTTTTCCTCCACAGTTCCAGCACCCACAGGCCCTCAGCCTCACCACAAGGCCCACACCCAACTATGAGGCCTCAGGATGATAGTGCCAGCTTGGAGAGGCACTCAGCTGCTCTGAGGTTAAACCTGCTTCCCATCAGCAGACAAACCAAAGGCATGGGTGGGGTGTTTGCACTCGAGAAAAGTGTCTTTTGGAACTGTGCCCATGGCTGATGGACAATCTTCAAACCTCAACCAACCCCAGAAAAAAAAAATGTCGAAAGCCTGCCGGTTTGTGGCTGCAGAGATGCCTCAGAAGTAAGGATTCTTTCTGCTCTTGACAAGGTCAGAGGCTTTTGTTGGGGACCCCTGCACCTAATTTCATTGTATTTACCCCCCAGTGACCTTTGCTGGGTCATTACATGAAGGGGTGTTTGCTGGAATGGAAAGGCAGTTTGTACAAGGAGGAGCCTGACCTAAGGTCTAGAGTCTGGGGAGTATCGGGTGCAAGGACAGATTTCTGAGGAGACAAAACTCACCTGAGACCTGACAGGGAACGAGCTTCCTAGAGGAACCTGAGTGAAAGGTTGGGTTGGGGAAACATTCCAGAAGAGGGAGCAGCAGATACTAAGGGGCATTGTAGAGCCTGCTGTGTCCAAGCAGAGGGGACTCTGGTGCCGTGATGGGGTAGCGACAGGAAGCGGGTCTGGTTCTAGGGCTTGGATGCAGGGCACCAGGATGTGTGGGAATACAGAGGCTGCTGAAAGGGACTTTAGAGTGGAAAGGGGATGCCTGGCCTAGGGACTTCCAGTCATATGTTTCTGTGGGAACCCAGAGATTTCTAGCTTATCCCTGCAAAGGACTTCCTGGCCACCGTTATGTCCCTGCATAGTGCCGAAATTATTAAAGTTGTTGGGGGGCAACCAGTCCTCCTGGCTACAACTATATGACTCAGAGAGCTAGCAATTTCCTTATGCAACACAAATAACACAGGTGTTCAAATGTGCGCGCGCGTGTGTGTGTGTGTGTGTGTGTGTGTGTGCGCGCATGCGCGCACTCAGGGAAGGATGACAAAAAGTAAGTAAAGCAGCAACAGGAACAACAGGAACACTGAATAATTAAGGGGTGACGCATGGTGGCCACGTTTCAAGGCGGCTCATTCCTCAGCTGTCGCCTCCCCTGGGCTGCACGACAAGACCTGCTGAGGATTCCCTTAATTGAATTTTATTTGTGAAGATGAGACACGGCTGTCCCCCCCTTCATTCTTACAAACTGGGTGATATTGTCTCTGAATAATGCTGTCCTGTGAGGAAGAGCTGGATCGTCCTGGCCTTTCCTCTTCTGCCAGAGGAGCAGCCATCACCTGAGGCTCCTCATGTCATCCGTCGTCCTTGAAGGATCCTTCCTGACAGCATCTGAAAACCATGGCTCCTGAGACAGAAGAAAACATGCTGTGCCCTGCCAGGCCGAGCTTCTCTCCTGCAGTTCGGAGCCTGCCCATTGCCCATGCTAACGACCTCTGTCCCCAGGGTGGCCTTTCCTCTCTGTCACCTCTGGAGCTGCACGGTGACATCTTCTCTCTCCGTGTCCCTGAAGCCATCTCGGCTTGGCATGGTCTCCCTGCCTTCCTTCCCCAGCTCACTCTCTCTACGCCCGTGTGTGTATCTGGACTACATCCTGCCATGTTGGCCGCTTGCCCCACTGCGGGGAAGGACACAAGGTCAAGGTCCCTGGTAGGTAAACAGCACAAATTCAGGTTCACAGAGTCCTCTCCCCCCGCATCAACTGCCCATCAGGAAAATCAGAGCTTGGTGCCACTTGGGAAGGAACAGGTGATGTATGAGCCTGTCTGGGAGTGCCAGGTCCTGATCTGTGTCCCTGTGAATAAGAAGCCACTTAAGAGTGTCAGGCAAGCGGGGCCTGGCCCTCCTCCTGCCTCTAACTTTGACTTGGCTTTTGTGGAGTATTTGTGGTGGTAACATGTCAGAGACCATGTATTGTGTGATGTTTTATTTTTATTTTTTGGCTTTTTTTTCAGGGGCTCATCACCCACCTCCCAAATAAACCACACATGAAGGCTTATTCTTAGTTATGAATACCCGGCCTTAGCTTGGCTTGTTTCTTGCTAGTTTTTCTTAACTTAAATTATCCTGACTACCTCTTACCTCTGGGCTTTTCTCTTTCTCAATTTCTGTAGACCTTTCTTTACTTTTTCCTCTGTGGCCAACTGGGTGACTGAGTGGCTGCCCCCTGATGTCCTCCTCTTCTTGTTCTCTCTTGCTCTTCTTTTTTCTCTCCTTCCAGATTTCTCCTTCTACTTATTCTTTTGGCCTGCTAGCCCCGCCTTTCCTTGCTTCTGCCTTGCTATTGGTTGTTCATCTCTTTATTAGGACCACCAGGCATCAGGAAAGAACCACAGCCTCACAGAGTTAAACAAAAGTCACACATCTTAAAATAATATTCCC